TTCAACTAAAATAATGAACTTTCTGTTGCTCTACAAAAGAGCATTAGGTACAACATACTTTAATAGTACATCATTTGATCAAAATATACAATTTCCCATTTTTAAAATAGTATTTTTTAAAATGATTTTTAAGTTTGGGACAAGCAGGATTATTAGAAACTGTAAGGATTTCCAACAAGTGCAAATACAGCAAAATAAAAGAGATTTCAATTCCAAGAATAACACCGTAATGCGCCCTGTTAGAATAACCAACCACGTAAGAGCAAAAGGGTGCGTTTCCCCCAGGACGAGTTCGACCAGCAGGAGGGATGGGAGAGGAACCAGAACGCGGGGTGGAAGTGCAATGAGTGATGGTGCTCTGAAGGAATCGGAATGGGGACAAGGGGCAACAAAATGTGTACAAATGTTAAAACCAACAGTATGCTCTTCCGTAAATCACAATAAAAAGTTTATTTGCAAAATCAAACATTTCCATCCATTTCTACCCAGAGAGCCTGCATCACAGTGCAGAGCAGACCAACACCAGTGAGTTTTCAAGGCTTCGCAGGATCTCAACAGAAGCAGTTGGTGAATTTGAACCGACATCCTCAAGGTTAGACCCAAGTGCTTCACCACGGTACCACCTGGGTGCTACATAGCAAGCACCAAACTGGTCATTTACACTCACATTGTGGGAAAAGATCTCAAACTCTTCTTCGGTTAGTAGCCGAAAGGTTGCTATTTCTTTCTAATTAAATTCTTTTTGAAAACCACATCTCAATGACCAAAAACAAAACAAAATCACTAAACTGATTCTTTAATTTCTACTAATACACCTTGCTCCTCATTGCTCTTTTTATCAGTAAAATACAAGTAATACATTCAAACTCCAGCTAAAAGCAAAGAAACGAGGGAACTTCGGGTCGCTTTGTTAAGGAGATTCAGCAAGGCCATCTGTATGAACACTGAGATCCTGTTATATGATAACACAAAATCCCACATTCTTCTAGGTGGTCAGTGGAACCACACGCCTCACTACTAGGAGTCCCCGTAAAACAACAGCATGGCCACAGAGTCGATTCTGACTCATAACGAATCTAGAGGACAGGGTAAAACTGCTCCTGTGGGTTTCCAAGACTCTAATTCTTTATGGGAGTAGAAAGCCTCATCTTTCTCCCATGAAGTGGCTGGTGGTTTTAAACTGCTGACCTGTGGTGAGCAGTCAATGAGTAAGCTACTATGCCACCAGAGCTCCTTAGACTTTCCTTAGTCCATCCAAGTGACTCTTCTGGAAAGTCTGACATACTGGCCGAGAAATAAGAAAACCAAAGAACCAAGTGAATGGAAGTAAAAATGCCTTTACTAGACAAATGTTCACAGTAGGCTGTGAATCTCCGCGTTCTTCTCCCGGCCCTTTGGATGGGAATGAATTTGTTGGGCTCTAGGAGTGTAAGTCAGAACGGACTCAACGACAGTGAATCTGAAAAAGGGAAATCTGTACCAAAACTCTAGACCAACGGCGCCTAATTTCTCATATGCTGTTGGAGTGAAGTATAAGACCAGCGCAATTCTATGTTAAATTAAATTCAGAAGGGAGTTGAATCCAGACGGCAAACTATCTGCTGGTTCTCCTAAATGGGCCTAAATACCAGTTAAGTGTCAGCATCTTAACTCTGAAGCAGAAATGAAATATTATTGAAGGGAAGGGAAAAGCAGCCCGGAGAAAATGACACTGTCACAAGCCTCACCGCCCAGTGGCAAACTTAGACAGGCACAGCGGAGGAGCATGCGAAAGTGGCTATAGAAATAAATAAAACTGTGCTACTTAAGATTTAGGGTATAATGAGGCAACTTCAGCAAAGAGCAAGGGGAGAACTCAATAGACAGCTTTATGCACAGCTGACAAAAAAGCTTTAAAAAGTTACCGCTGACGATCTGACTTGTATGTGGCTGTCAGCTCGTCGAACATGGTGCTGTTCATTTCCATAAACGCCTTCAAGACATTGTACACCAGTGCCACGATCGCCCTGGGGAGCCAAAAGAAAGAGGAACATCAACCTAACAGGGAAGAAAGCTTAAGCACAGCTTTCATTTCTTTTCATTTCCTGTTTTGCACACCATCTTCTTTCCGTTTTAGTTACAAGGAGAAATGACCTCCAGTTCATTTCTGCATCCAGAAAGTCACATTCTTCACTGTTCAAGGCAGGAAATCTTTCCGTGACGTTCAAGGATTTAAAACACAAACAAACCAAAAATCGAATTCTGCTCTTTTGATTATTGTACCCGGATACTCTGTAACATAAAGGGAAGGCCAAAAATAAAGCAACTTCACCCTAAAAATAAGCTGGTGACAGGGTTAACCTGACACCAAATTCTATTTGCAGAGCATTTTATTTTTAAAGGAATAGCGTATATAATTCTTCAAAATCAAAGTCGGTTCCCATGGAAACACGTTTTAGATCTAAATTGCTCCTACTCAAAGATATGACGCACCACATCTTTGAAAGTCGATCAGTATTGTGGGTTATTTTTCTATTTGTGATTTACACTGGTCTAACCACTCCTGCCTGCTCTCTCCTTCCTGACCGGATCCACATGCTAACGAGATAAGTCACAAGCTGGTGAGGCTTGCTAGTGGTTGTGGGGCATGGTGGGCCACAGGGGGGCCCTGGCTGGTCCGTAAAAGAAGCTGCTGGGCAGTCTGAAGACCATGCCCCATCGGTAGTTGCCAGGCCAGGTCTAACTAGCGCTGCCTGTGGCCAAAATATGCAACTGCACTTTCGTTCGGAAACAAGCGTCTTGGAGCCACAACAAAAAAAGGAATAGCTAACAATTAAGGCATAGGTTAAATCAGTGAATTTGCTGTTTCTAAAACATTTACAAGAAAGGCCGCGTGCTTGGGAGCTTCTGTCCGGGGTCAATAAAAGGAATACTGAAGTGAGCTGACTTCTGCTTCGGGGCTTGACCTTCCTCAAATGCGAGGGGTGTGAAGGAGAAGGGTAGTTATGACCTGCAGTAGAACCACTCGAGTTTCTCAGGAGACAAGCGGACTCCATTGTTTGCCAGCTCTTTATTGTTACAAGCTTTATTAATAAAACTGACAGAATTTGAAAAAGAATTCTTACAATTACATGCAAAGCTTTTCTCTTTTTTTAAAAGCTTTTAAAGATAAACATACTATTAAATATACTGAACTACAACTACTGGTTTTTCCTTTAATGCCATGTTACATTTTTTTTTAATTCCACAAAGCTCTAGGTAACATAATGAAAACATTTCTAGAATGCTTTAACTGGTGTAAGGCTGGATAGTCAACTTTGCCTTTTAGATTTTAAATTCCTGGTTTTCGTCCCACTAGAAAATATACATAAAGTTTGTTTTTAAGAAGTGGATCCTGCTAAAATGTAAGTCCACTTGGACCATCTCCTTTCTTCAAATCCTTCAGTGTTCTTTTATCATCTACTTGTTGAAGGCTCACATGGACCCCACTCCACTTTCTTGCCACATCTTGAGCATCCTCTCCCAAAGCCCTTGGGCTTTAACCCTCCCATGCCCAGAGATCTCTGAACTTGGCAGGTGCTTCCTACAAGCTTGTGCCCTTAGTATGTGGTAAATGGACACACTGCCAGAAAGAGCTTCACCCCCACCCCACCCCCATGCACCTGCCAAAGTCCTTTGAGATTCAGTTCAACTACCATTTCCTTAAGCGTATCCAGAAGCCACCCGCCTCAGCTCGTGTCCCCAAATTCCCTGCTACATTCAGCCTAGTCCATTAAGCCTTTGTCTGCTTGTAGGTTTTCTTAGCCAGCCAGCGAATTGCTGATGGGTAGGGCGTTAAGTTTTCAAATGTCTGTCTTCAGCTACAAGCACAGAGCAAGCATTCAAGTCACCTGTGACACGACAGAAAGGTGGGACGGAAAGGCCCAAGGAAAGGAGGGAGGGCGGCAACCGTGAAAACTTACGGGTTCCAATGTTCTTTTGAAATCCTATAGAGACTGGAGAACATGATGGGAAGGATGACATTGGAGTTTTCTTCTATCAAGCTCATGATATATTCGTTATTCCAATAATAGAGTGCCCTTTCTGCCACCTTTGGGGACCAAAAGAAAAATATATATTGAGAGAGAAAAATATAAAGAGAAAAATATAATCTTTCCCAAATAAAAGTATTTCAAGAGACTGCATTTTAATCATTCCATCAACTGTAAGGTTAAAATATGAGTCACACTTTATATCTTCGTGGGTTTAAGAGATCTCAGAAAATTCTAAAGTAGCTCATCAATGTAGGGAATGAAAGGAAGTCAGTTTCCCTATCTGCTTACTAGTGTTCTTATCAAATATTGCCCATGTCATTAGATCCCACATTTCCTCTGCAAGGCACACAGCTCCCAAATGTCTTAATCCAGCTTCCACATGCCAGTAATTCTTCCCACCGCGCTGACTCAGTTTACGGACGGCCGTTACAGAGCACGTCCTTCTTTCATCCCACACGCTTCAGTTCCGCCACGGCCCACTGCGGGCTGACATTCAGCAAGCAGGTGCGAGGAAAAGTCAGCAAGCTGGCCATCCCCACACAGCATCTGCGTTGACTGAGTACCTCCCTCCTTTGGGCCAGGCACTGTGCCCAAACTGCAGGTAAACCTAGGAGAGCAGTTCCCATCATCCTGGGAGAGGCAGTAGTTTCATTTTACAGATGGGAACACTGGGGGTCAGAAAAACTGGTTCATTTGTCCAGCAGCACGCTAACAAATGGGCGGAGCAGGGGGACACGGACGGCTCTTCACTCCTCATCTCTTCCTCTGGACTAGGCAAGCTCGGGGCAGCTGCTCCCTTTCTGGATTCAGGGGCACTGGATGAACACAGAAGTTGGCTGCCTCCTCAGATCCCTTTGCTCTGCCCACCACTAATAGTATTTGGTCTGCTGGGTCTGCGTTTCAAGAATTCGTAAGAAGGGGAACCGATGACAAGGATCTACATGTGACCTCCTCCCTGGGGGACGGACAACCGAAAAGTGGGTGAAGGGAGACGTCGGACAGGGCAAGATATGACAAAATAATAATTTATAAATTATCAAGGGTTCATGAGGGTGGGGAAACGGGGAGGGAGGGGAAAAAAAGAGGACCTGCTGCCAGGGGCTTAAGTGGAGAGCAAATGTTTTGAGACTGATGAGGGCAATATGAATGTACAAATGTGCTTTACACAATTGATTTATGTATGGATTATGATAAGAGTGGTATGAGCCCCTAATAAAACGATTTAAAAAATAAAAGAACTCATAAGAACACCTCAGACAGAAATAAAGAAATAAAATGCCAGATCTCTAAAACGAGTGGGTAGTTAGATGAGTAATTTACAGCAATTTCCTTCATTCATACAGATTAAGAAATTGGTTTTTTTGGAGGGAATAAAATAATGGCATACAACATACTCACCACGCATCTGAGAAATTTTAGAATTTTCCCATTTACATTGATCAACAAATCCCTAGGGCTCATTCGCAGCTAAGCTCCAGAGTACAGAGAACACAATCCAGTCCGACTGCAATGTGTCCTGTGCTCCAAGAGCCATGTTAAGTTTCCCACCTGCTACCCCACCTAATTCCCACAACCAACAGCACAGGTACCATCATTTCTATTTTGCAAATGAGGAAAATGATGCTCAGGAGCTAAGCCATTGGTTCAGGGTCACATGGCTAACAAGCAGCCGACTCCAAGTCCCTGCTCGTAATCATTTTGCTGTTAGCCCTAAGGAAGTTATAAGCTGGTGGGGAAATGGATGTATCAAGGAGGCTACCTAATATGTGCTGTCACCGATGTTATAACAGATATTCAGTCATAGGTGTGGTTATATTAAGTGCCAGGTGAAAGAGTAGAATAAACAAGCTGAAAGATTTGGGGGTGGGGGTAAAGAGATATAATAGATGGAAATGGCATTTACACTGGCCCTTGATGGATGAAAGGAAGAGAAAAAGCATTCTAAGCACAGGAACTGGCAGAGTTGAGGAGACAGAGCATGAGACAGAGAGACAGAGAGGAGAGGAGGAGGTACGGAACACTGTTGCTTTCAAATGCATAACTGGAAAACTGGAGGGAATATTTTAAGAGATCAGAGGAAGGTGCTAGCAAAGAAAGGGAACCTATGACTTTCCTTTGTCCATGTTTTAGATTAATATTTTACCTGTCACTTAACTTTAAAGTACTGTATATACTCGAGTATAAGCCGACCCAAATATCAGGCGAGGCACCTAATTTTACCACAAAAGCGGCATTAAAAATGTGCTGCGAAACTTGGCTTATACACGAGTATATGCGGTAAGTATCTTACTCTCTATATGAGTCAATAGATAAACTTTCCTTGCATAAAGAAAGTCAGTAAGTGGCAAAGCCCCTTAGAGAAAAAAGGTGGTGATGTTTATGCAACGTAAAAATGACTGTATCTGACATCAGTGTCAACTAATACTTGCCTGAGGCAATCTCTCTAGCTTGGAGACCTCTGACCCTGATACTACCTGTAATGGTAGGTGTCAGGCTACAGAGTTTGCACTTAATAAATATTTGCTTGATGAACCAATAATGACATAGTTAAGTGAATAAGAACCTCTTTTTAGCCTGCAATTTTAAAAATCATTTTATTGGGGCTCATACAACTCTTATCACAATCCATACAAACATCCATTGTGTCAAGCACATTTGTACATTTGTTGCCATCATCCTTCTCAAAATATTTGCTTTCTACTTGAGCCCTTGGCATCCGCTCATTTTCCCCCTCCCTCCCTGCTCCCCCTTCCCTCATGAACCCCCAATAACTTATAAATTTTTATTATTTTGTCATATCTTATATTGTCCGACGTTGCCTTTCACCCACTTTTCTGTTGTCCGTCCCCCAGAGAGGAGGCTATATGTAGATCCTTGTCATCGGTTCCCCCTTTCTACCCCACTTCCCTCCATTCTCCCAGTATCGCCACTCTCAGCACTGGTCCTGAAGGGATCATCCGCTCTGGATTCCCTGTGTTTCCAGTTCCCATCTGTACCAGTGTGCATCCTCTGGTCTAGCCGGATTTATAAGGTAGAATTGGGATCATGATAGTGGGAGGGGGAGTGGGGAAAGCATTTAAGAACTAGAGGAAAATTGTATGTTTCATTGTTGCTACCCTGCACCCTGACCGGCTCGTCATCTCCCCGCATTTCCCCCAATTTTATCTCTTGTCAAATAATTTAAATTCCTGTCCCCCTCTCCTTTCCAAGTTCCCGAGCATCATGTAAGCCTCCCTAGTTTTGCTTACTTGAAAAGACATTCCTGATCTTTGACCTCCATAATACCAAACACCCAGATGAACATTAAAAACTAAGGTAAACCAGCAGCCAAAAGTCTGAGCACCAGGAGTCCTATGTAATACGCAAAATCGCCCAATCGTCTTATAATCTTTCCATTTTAATCTAGGCATGCCTTATGTCATCTGAACACTTACAGTGGTTGCAATTTGTGTTTTACAACTGCTAGATGTCACTGTGTCTAGTTCAGAAACTAAAACCACAAAAACGGCCAGAGTCTCGAACTCTGCAGGGCGTTGCGAGCTCAGCAGAAGAGTCCACGGGCACAGGGCCAGGTCAGAGGGGAGTGCTGGGCTAGGAATGACAATCTCAACAATCTCTTGCTGGCAGTAAGAATGTCTCGGGCTTGTGATGTGGGCCTTTGGTGAAACGGTGAAAGAATGAAAGGTAACATGTTTCCGATCACCTTCTGTCACAGGCCGGTTTGCAGCACGGCAGCAGCTGCTGCAATCAAGGCAAGGGTTACCCGAGCTCTCCAGTTGGTTCTCCCAGAGTGGCCACCAGGAGACAGAGTGGTGCCACAGAAGGTCCTGTGCTTGAGCAAGAAGCTACACACCTAGATTCAAATTGTGATTCATTCCCCATTAGGTGCGGAACCTTGAGCAAATCATTCTAAGCCTCGTTTTTATTCTCATCTGGTAAATGGGAAAAGGCCTAATGGAATCATCTGAGGCGGTAAATACTGCCTGTGAATCAGACAGCATATGTATATACACAGGACATGTATAGGACACTGGGGCGTCACTGAGCATTCCCTCTTGCACACTAGAGGAGCCCTATACTATAGTCTACTCTCACTCATTTATCAAACCACAGACTGTTTCCCCACTTCAAGCTTCAGGGTTCACATCTGCAGAAGATGCTAAGCATCCTTCTGGCGGGGGGCATTATAAAAACTGCAATTGTGAACAGAAACCACCATCATAGGGACTGACCACGATGTATGTAACAAGGGCTCAGGTGAAAGGAGACTATTGTTAGCAGTCACTGCTAGCAGATAGCCACATCTCACCTGAAGGTTCAGAAGCAATACTTTCCAAGAGCCCACGGTCCTGCACACACAGTGGCCATGTCTCTAGCTTGGGCACTTTGGGCCTTGATGGCACACCTGGGCAAGTAGCAAATAGCAAATAAAAACAGCAGGCATCTCGTGTCCATTATTATGATGCGTTCAATACACATCAAATGTAAGCAAAATAATTTCTCTGTCATACATCTATCTTCCTTATTACTTGCCTGAAAATGAGGGCTAGATACACACTTGGCAATTTGCTTGAAGAGAGGTTCTTGGATTTTAACAAACTGTGAAGGCTCGATCACATCCAGTATTTCCTCCAACTCCCCAAGGAACATGACCTGTGGGCATAAGCAAGACACAAAAGGCCAGCTGCTTCCGAAAACATCTTCCTGAACAATAGGATTAATGAGAAATGTAGGCTGTCTTAACATAAGTTTATCTATAAAACTGAACAACACATAGAGGCAAATTAGGTATTCTCTCACAGAAGATACTATTTCACAAGTCACTGTTGTGAGTACCGAGAACTCACAACAAAGTACTTCTTTTGATCAAGTTCCCAACAAGACTAAAACCAAGTTTCTATTTACTTTGAATAGATATTGTCGAGTCACATTCATGACCAGAGAGTAAGAAACTTGTGTGGTGCATTCTGGAGAAGAGGGTCCCCATGGCTCTCCGCCTACTGCGGTCAATCGCGTTCTCTCTTCTAGCAGCGCCCGCCCCTCACCCAATGCACACTCGCTGCCATCTCAGCTCCTGGATTTCAACTCAGCGGCCCCACGGGACAGAGTGGGACTGCCCAACTGTTTCCAGGGAGGCACGCTTTATGGAAACGGGCTGCCACACCTTTCTTCCCAAGAGCAGCTGGCAAATTTGAGCCATCAATGTTTCAGTCAGCAGCCAAGTTCTTTAAACCACTGCAAGGTTCCTTCCAATAATCACAAGCCCTGCTACGTGCGGGGACTTTGCTAGGGTCCAATGGCAGAACAGAAAATAAATTCAACAAGCACATATGAACAGACTCCCCAACATGCAAGTATCCCGTTAAATCCAAGAAATACATATGAACAGAACCGCCAACATGCAAGCATCGTGTCAAATCCATTAGCAGAGGATAACCCTATCACTACACCCACACCACACTCTCACTAGGTGGCACAAGGACTCTTGTGGCCTTGGGGAAAAGAGCTATCAGATCACAAATTAGAAGCCAATCAGTAGGAGTCCACTGTTTTGAATACAATAGAAAAGAAGGAAACCAAAGCCAGCTATCGATTTAGCCGACAATAACAAATAATAACTGCCTTTGAAAAACCGAAGTGTATAGTGAAATATGAAAGACAGCAATGTGTTTGCATCTTTGGATAGATCTAGCTAGCAATGCATTGTTTTATTTAACCTACCAGATATTAAAAAAAATGAGAATATTTCCTGATACTGTACCAGGGAGGGTTTTGGAGAAGTGAGCTCATTTGAGAAACAGAATATATTACATGAAAAATAGAGGGCAGGGGGTGGGGCTTCAAGAAGTTTGTGGAAATTTTCCATTATCTTTTAGTGCCATTTTCCCATAAACTTTTTGAAGTGCCCTCATATAGAGATATAGCTTGCCATCTGTCTA